CCCTTTGGGTATGCTCGATTATGCATGTATCGACTTAGAACTGACATGAACCGCTCGTAGGACCACATTTCATGAAAGTAGCAAGGGTCCAGCGCCTGTATCTGATGAACCATGTGAATCATGAGATGTGGCATTATATCAAAAAAAGAAGGAGGTAAACACATCTCCAGTTGGTTTTGTGTCTCCACCACAAATTCGTGTAGGTCACTCAGCTCTTGCTTGCCAATCGTCTTCTATGAGATCTTCGAAAAGAAATAGCACATGCGGGTGATGGCCATTTTTAAGAACTCTGGCTTTATAACCCTGATTGCAATAGGTAGAAACACTATCAGCATCACATGGCAATCGTGAGCCTTACAGTCTGTTATTGACAAGTCCTTCATCAACACTAGTTTCTTCACATTTGCTAAAAACCCAGTCAGGACTTTGATCCCTTCAGGAAAGTGCATATAGCTCTCTTCTTGTCTGGTGTTTGGTTGAAGCACACCGCGGGCAGAGTGTATTTTCCATTAGCCTCAGGTACCGGGTGAAGCTGTGGCATCATATTTAGCTGCACCATGTCTTTCTGTGCTTTTAGACCATCCTTTGACTTGCCTGTGTCCATCAAGGTAGCAATGAGACTCTCAAAGACATTCTTCTACACGTGCATAGCATCAATGGCATGGGGGACCTCCAAGTCTAGCCAATAAGATAGATACTAAAAGAAGATCTATTGTTTCTTGAAAGGTATGTCTTCGACAGGAGGTGTGCTTCTATCTCTATTCGTCCCATCCGGATTCTTCTTTCCATAGACGACGCGTATGTTTTTCACCATTCTGTACACGTGTTCTCCGTTATGACATCTCTCCGGAGGGGGTTCAATCTTCGGGGCGTTGTCATAAAATCTAAAGAACAATTTGCTGCGGTACTTGTGACTTGTCTTTAAAAAGCGTCGGTTCCTTAGGTAAATTATCTTCTTGGATGCATCTAGGTACACCCATGTAGTACCATCCAAGCAAACCAAGCATCCCGTCTTTTCTTTGAACTGTCCAGATAAAGCAAACAGCGCGGGGTAATCATTGGTAGTAACAAATATTATTGCTCTACATATGAAGTCCTCCTTTCGGAACGCATCGTACATCTGCTCCCCATGCCTCCATAGCCTCTCTATTTCTTGCATCAAAGGCTCGAGGAACACATCTATATCAATGCCTAGTTGTTTATGGCCAGAAATAAGAATAGTGAGGAGAAGGTACTTTCTCTTCTGACACAACCATGTTGGGATGTTGTACATGGTCAAGATCACTGGCCATGTGCTGTGGTCGCTCATCCTCTCATTGAAGGGATTCATTCCATCAGTGCTCAAGCCAAACCGTACATTCCTTGGGTTATCGCTGAATTCTTTATGCTTCTCATCAAACCTTTGCCACTGACTACAATCAGCCGGGTGTGCAATCTTATCATCATCCACCTTGCGCTCATCATCCCACCATGTCATGAGTATGGCTTCTTTAAGGTTTAGGAAGATACGTCTCAAGCGGTCGGTCACTGGCAGGTACCATATTACCAAGACAGGAATTCTCCTCTGCTTTGCATCGTTGCCTAATGGAGTGTCATCTGGGGGCTGAGATTTTTGTACCACCTTTTTTGTACCCTTCTTATTCCTCTTTTTCCTCGTGGAGGATTCGTCCCCACCGTAAAGGTCATTGTTCTTGTACCGGCTGGCCCCACACCGGGGACATTTATCCAGTGACTTGAATGTTTCACCACGAAAAAGTATATAGTGGTTGGGGCATGCATGAATTTTTTTCAACCCCCATTGTTAATGGACTTATGACCTTCTTCTCTTGGTATGTGTTGGCGGGAACTGAGTTTGGTTATGGTAGCACCCATGACAGGAGATGCAATAGATCATTGAAACTACAGGCTAACCAGCCGTACTTAGCCTTCAGGATAAGCAGCTCAAACACAAAATGTAGCAATGTCCAATGTGTCGGACAACCCTTTTCAACACCATACACAGTCTCCTTCGATGCTTTTGTCACCCTTTCCAAAAAATTTAAACCTTTCGGGCTATTTAGTAAAATCTCTGGTCCAAGGGCTCGAATCATGTCCTCCAAATCATCTTCATCCCCGACACGTGCTCCACCATCATTATTGGCACCACCTTCGTCGTTACCATCCCAAATCATCTTCATGTGAACAGTGCCCACGTGAGAGGGCTGGCCAGCACCAGCCAGCCGCTCTAGCCGAACAAGCTGCTTGTTGGTTGCTATGTTCCATGCAGCTTGGGTGATGAGACTCTTGTTGACGGTTTGGCTTGGGCGCTGGCCGCTACCTTGCAGCTATGGATGAAAACGGATCGGATACGAACATATATCACTCATATTATATTTATTTTCATATTTCTGTTCGGATTCGGATTCGGACACGGATAGCGTTCAGATACATATACGAATACGGATTGACTCGGTTACGGATACGAATAATGAGTATCGAATATGGTATGAATCGGATTCGGAGAAGGTCGGATACAAATATCTATTCGGATATTGAGTAAAAGCAGCATATATATATCATAGGTGTGTAAACCATTACACCACTCTATGAGTCCATAATCCATCTAGATTAAGCCGAAAGACTAAAGAGTAAAGCAACAAATAAGATAAAGATATAGATACATCATACATCAAACATCATACAAGCACCAATCTTCGCGGCAAGAGTAGAAATAGCCAAGCTCATGACTTCATGGGTCTCATGGTCATGGGTATGGACATAGTCATGGCTCATGGGTCATTTGCATTGAGAACTTCACCCATATCAGCATTTGCATTGACGGCACCTTCGCCGATCTGAGGATCCTGAAATTGGCCTAGCTCATGGTTGTAGTGGTGCCTTCTTCCCAAGTGGTGCCAAAAATGCATAGTTCCACGCCACGGTTCAGCACGAGCCTTGTAATTGCACCTATTGCATTTCGCCCAACGCTGTTCCTCTATGACACCGTCTTTTTGGTGTCTCTCCATGTACATAGTATAGTGTTCCCAAAGCCTTGACATTTGAAAAGCTATTCAAAATCCACAGAGGTGAAAAAACAAATGATTAAAGGTCATATCCGTAGATGCAAAACATAAATGGATTAAGGGTGGTGGCTGGTGGGTCATGGGTGGACCAGTATACCTTCAAGGCTTCAACCTTAGTGATTGAGGGTGGTTGCAACCTGCAAGCTAGCAAGCGCCTTCAGCCCTTCAACCAGTGGCCGACGGCCAGGAAGCAAGCTAGCAAGTGCCTTCAGGCTTCGGCCCTTCAACCAGCGGGCAGTGACCAGGAAGCAAGCAGCCGTCCCAAGCAAATGGGAGTGGCGACCAGTGGCCGGCGGCTAGGAACAGGAAGCAAGCAGCCGGCGAGGAAGCAAGCAAATGGGAGTGACGGCTGGGGTGGGGACTGGGGAGAGGACTGAGCGGCTAGTGGCTGGGAAGTGGCCAAGTGGGAACTTATGGGCCTCTTCGGCAGGACTGAAAAATACTGTTATGGCTAATTGTTGTGAGAGAAAAATACTGTTCTGGCATGACGTGAATAGTGATTTCGTGAGTTGGCTGGCCAGCCAGCCAGCCGGCTTAAAGCCAGCCGAACACGCTCTATATTATGGGCCAGCTAGCTTAGCTAGGGTCATAGAGGAATGGGTCGTTTGAACAAGAAGTAATATTTTGGTCTAATTCCAAAATCACAATTCAAGAAAAAAAAAAGCAAAAAATTATTGTTTGAGGCCCTAAACAAATTCAAATGAAAATGTTGTAATCAATAAAGTTTCATAACTTTTTGGGATCTAAAACTTTCATTTTGGTTGTTTCTCCATCTGAGATTCTGAGGTCGTTTGAAAAATCCAAATTTTAAATTTGAGAAATTCAAACGTAGTTTTCCTTAGCAAGATGATTTCAAATAAAAAAGTTTTCAACTACAAAGTTTCATAAATTTCTAAGATCTATAACTTTTATTTTAGTCATTTGTTCATCCGACATAGTGGTAGTAACATTATTCACGAATCTCACACATCTCTCTTATAGTTTATGAAACTATAAGAGAGATGTAAATTTTGTGAATAATGTTACTACCATAATCTTGGATGAACAAATGACCAAAATAAAAGTTGTAGATCTTGATGAGTTTTACAACTTTTATGTTTATTACTTTTTTAGCTGAAGTCATTTAATGTTTGAAAATGACGTTTGAAGTTGCTATTTTTTGAAATTCAAAATTCAAATAGATAGAATATAGTCACATGAAAAGATGAACACAATAATAGCTATAAGAATACAATAAATTGATAGAACATGATTTTAGAAAAATTTAGAAAAAAAATTATCAAATTTGAAGTTAGTACGAGGGAGAAAAATTAGTTACAAGTTTTAGCGGAAGATTAAAAAGAGAAATAGGCGTTCTTTAACCATTTCGAAATTGAAATTCAAATAGCATTTTGAAGCACTAAATGATTTCAAATAAAAAAGTTGTAAACAATAAAGTTTCATAACTTTTCGAAATCTACAATTTTTATTTTAATCATTTCTCCATCCAAGGTCGTTTGAAAAAAAAAATCGAATTTTAGTGCTAATTTTTTATTATTTGGCGTCTATTTTGGTCTTTCCTTTTTGTAGCAGTAAACAACACAGGCACACAGCATAAGCACAACTTGAATTATTTAAAATAATCACAGCTTAGATTAAAAAAGATGGCAAGCATCACCGGATATTTTATATAAGCAACAACTTGGATTATTTAAAAAAAATCACAGCTTAGATTAAAAAAGACGGCAAGCATCACTGGGCATTTTATATATCACATCACACAATTCATTGGACTTAGCACAAGCATCACCCGACAGGTTCATTAGTCACATGCTCGAGTCAGTCACAAGCTCTCAGAGCCACATAACTTTTCACAGTGCAACTACATATACATCCAGAGATCACATCAAAAGACAAAAGAGTGCATCAGCCATAAAGGCAGCAACCAGTCGTCCATCTTCAATCTTCAGTAGTCCAAATCCAACCGTCCATGTCATCCAAGTCGCTGTCCTCATGGTCCTCGGCGTTGCCACTGCCTTCTTCAGTAGCCTGGTTCTCAGTCTCAGCCTACAAAATGTAGTGCAAATCAACACCTGGGCCTAGAGGTATGTGCAGATCACATACTAACAATATTTTACTGAAAATAATAATTACAAACCTCATCTGCTAGAGTGCTGACAGTATCACAAAAGTCTTCGAGAATTGATGCTATCTTATAGTTGCGATCTGAAAATGACATGACCACGTAAAGTCATAAGTTAAAAAAATAAAGTTAAAGCTATAGTTTGTAATAAACAATTCAGTGTTACCTTTCTTAGATGCAAGGCCCCAATCTTTTGAACAAACTAGTGCCTCGACCATCTCAGGATCAAGGCGAGTGCGAAATTTATTAACAATACGCCCACTACAACTGAAAGCTGATTCTGAAGCAACAGTAGACACTTGGACAGCCAACACATCACGAGCAAGTCATGAGAGAATAGGATATTTCGCTTGGTTAGTTTTCCACCATGACAGTATGTCAAATGCAGCACCACTACCACTAGGATCAACCCACCGAAATGGTTTCTCTGCCATGTATACATCCAACTCACTTACCTCACTACGATTCACTTCGTCCTCATACAAAAATTCTTCAATATCAGCATTTTCCTCAGATGTGTGAGCTGGAGCTACAATAGGTTCAGATTGTGCACTAGCCTTCGATGTTTGACTCGGTATACTAGACAAGTAGGCTTTGAACAATCGTTTCACAACATCCATGATCAGACTAAGTTCAGCAGGAGCCCTGTCTTTGTAAATCCTTTGTAAGAAATATTCTATCAGCCTTTTCTTGTACCTAGGATCTAGGAAACATGCCACAGCAAGGGCAATGTTGGACTTTTTCCAATACTTGTCATATTTCTCTTGCATGGCCTGAGCCATAGAAGCAATAAGTATATCAGCACTTGCACACCACTCTGTAATTGCTAACTTTATGTCACAGAATTTCCACCAAAACATGTTTGCTGTTGGATATTGAGTTCCAGAAAACAACACCGTAGCATCATTAAATAACTTCAAACACTTGCAAAAAGATGCAGCCATCTCCCATTCATCATCTGAAGGAGCACAATGCTTATATTTATCCTTATGTAAATACACTAGCCTGTCAAAAGCATTCCTATAATAAATAGCATGACTCAACATCTCATATGTTGAATTCCATCTTGTAGAAACATCCAATGGAAGACCAGATTTATTATTCAAATTAAAAAAATCAGCACACTTTTCAAATTCCTCCCACTGCAATGGAGAGTTCTTCAGAATAACAATGATAGCTCTAATATTTTTAACTGCAGATCCAATCACTGTCAATCCATTTTGAGCAACCAAATTTAATATGTGACATAAACACCTTACATGGAAGAAAATGCCACCACATATCAAAGGAGAATACTTCTGCAGCTTAGCAAGTTTATTAAGCTCCTTCACAACTGATATCACACATTTATTTTTGTTCGAAGCATTGTCTAGGGTGAGTGCAAATAACCTCTTTTCTAGGTTCCAAGACATGATTCCCTTGATAAATTCACTTGCCAGTACAGTCCCTTTATGTTGCCCTTTAACAAAAGGAAGGCAAATTATATTTGCCAGTTATCATCAATCCAATGAATTGTGATGCACATATAGCCTTTGTTTTGATTAGAAGTCCACATATCCATAGTTGCAGAAAACCGACAAGATATAGTTTTAAGTTGGTCAAATAACTTCTTCTTTTGAGCTAAATGCATGTCCAATATCTCTTTCCTAGTGGTTATACGACTCTTGAATGAAAAGTTAGGGCGCAAAGACTTGATGAAATCAACGAAGAACTCATGCTCAGCCATCACAAAGGGATATTCATGCATGACAATTGCTTGATAGAACTTTTTCAGGCTAACTTCAGGATCATATTTATAAGTTTCAATGATATCTTTACCTTCACTCTTTTCAACTTTAAGTTGCTGCTGCCCTTTTCTTTACATCGTGCTTTGCATTCACATGATTCCAAAGGACTGTTGTTCCCTTATTGGACTCACCACGAGTTTTGTAACTGCACTTCTTGCATTTCGCCCAAACTTGTACCTCTGTCGTTCCATCATCTCTCTTGTGTGTCACTGTGAGCTTGGTGTAAAAATCCCAAACCTTTGAGGTAGTCTTCTTTTGTCTCTTTGTAGAAGGCTCAACTCCCGCACTGCAAGTTCCATCTACTCCAGTCTCTTCCTCGGTAATGACAACATTTGCAGCACCTCCACCTCCAGCAACCGTGGTTGTTTCCTTCAATGCCAGAGTAGCAGGAGGTTGGGGGTTAGGTGCTGATTCACCTGTGCCAACCGGAGCAGTAGCAGGGGATGCTCCCGTGCTTGCACATACACTCTCATTTGCACTAGCAGCAGCCATCCTAAATCCAACATATTCAAAGAAAAAAACCAACAATCGTAAGCCTGACATAGAAGCTTCTGAAATCGAAACCCTACTGGGTAACTAACTAACTACCCTAGGATGGGTTGGAGGCTTGGAGCAGAGGAGAAGAGAGGTGTTACCTGATCTGTGGACTGTGGGTCTGTGGCAGTGGCTGGCCGAAGACAACGGACGACGACGGCACGACGCACAAGAGTACTTCACGGTAGCTTTATTCCTCCTCCTCTTGCTCTTGCGTCCACTCCTTCAGACGCCGACCAACACACCACAGGTTGCCGGCGCGGATCCGATTAACCCGAGATGCGAGCAGCGGAGAGGGCGTACGGGTTGCGAGTTGCGAATGCGAGGTGCAGAGATGGAGCAGGGCAGCAGGCGCCAGCCGAGCAGCGGAGGCCGGAGGGTCGAAGGTGGCAGCTGGCGGAACAGCAGAGATGGAGCAGGCCGGCGGCGCGAGTGCGGAGTGCAGAGTGTGGACGTCGTGTCTGTGTTGCCGAAGTGCCGAGAGTTTCACAGGAAGGTTATTGGGCTGTCTAGTGGCCGTGGCCTGAGGGCTATGGCGTTTGGGCCTATGCTTCACCGCTTCACTATGTGAGGCAAAGCTTTAGTCCCACATCAGCTACAAAGAGCGGAGCGTGGAGAGAGGGAGCTATAAAATGAGGGGCATGGCACCAGGTGGTGCATTGCTTTGTTGGCGGGCTATATTCGGATAATATCCGTTACATGTAGGTTGGATACGATATCTGTCGGATATCGATGATAAGTAATTATCTAATAAGTGTTTATATTTGTTCTGTCGAATAAATATTCGTACTGTTTTGATCCTTGCAGCCCTCCACGCATCAGCGCCTGGGGGTCAACCTGCACGTCTCGCTCGGCCAGCAGAAAATTCAATGCCCAACAGCAGGTAGCCTGGGATGACTTCAGTGTCGGGATCTGAGAAAGGTCCGGGTAGATGGTCATCGGACCCTCTATCCACCAGTGTCGGGATCCCTGTGAAAGGCCGTATAGATGGCATCTCATAATCTAGTTTTAAGTTTGGAAAACAAATACATCAGGAATCCAGACTAGTGAAGCCAGTTGAATTAGTGTTTCGAGCAGTGAAGCCAGTTCTGTATATAAGCTTTGCACAGACATGCTGCACTTTTGGGCCCTGTTTAGATATAAAGTATTTTTAAGTAATGAAGAAATATTATGGTTTTACAAAGTACTTTGGTTTTTAAAAGCTATTGAGTGTTTAGATGTAACAAATCTTGTAGTCTCTAAACCCGTGGTTTTGTCAAAATTGTAGTCTTTTTGAATTTTTAGAAACTTCACTCGTAAGCTCTTTTTTCTAAACCACGGTGTCATGTCTCTTTCACTTGTAAAACCATAGTTTCGTGATACTATAGTTTTTTAAAACCATGTGATCCAAACTCGTTGCGAGCAGAATTACTGAGTTCATTCTCGCTTTGGAATTAGACAAACACAATGTTATGTTCAGTATTTCCTTCCTGCTGGTAAACACACAAACTTTCTTTGGGAAATTAAATTCACAGCCTGAAATCATTTAGAGCAGTCTTCTCCCTGCCATCCAGTCCAACAGCGAAGTAACGTGCCACGTAATCTCTGACGGGTGTTTCCCTATACAAAGGACGATTCTCCTCCAACAGCAGCTCTTTGATCGGATCATACATCCTTGTGGAAGCCGGATGGAAGAAAGTGTTGAAGAAGCACACGACGGAAACTCTTGGTTCGCCATTGTTTGCTACCACTCTGTGCTCCACGCTGCTGAACTTGCCATTGGAGACCAACTGAACATGTCAATGGACGAAAGAATTTCAGTACCAAACTCTCGACTGTATGAATAAAAAACAAGCTTCTTTATATACAGTCTTATTAGCGTACCTGCAGGAGATCGCCAATGTTGACGACAAATGTTCCAGGCGTTGGCTCAACGTCGACCCATCGGTCATCGCGGAGGATCTGGAGGCCTCCAATCTGGTCCTGCAGAACTATGGTCAGGAATCCAGAGTCCGAATGCCGTCTCGTCCCAAACTCCCAAAGCATGGCGACTTCATGCTGGGGGCATCGAGGGTAGTAGTGGCCTACTATAGTCTGTCCCTGGTTGCGCTCTATGTCACTCAAGTAGCTCGGTTTGAACCCAAGCGACTCGGAGAGCAGCTCAAGCAACCCGTCTCACAGACTCTTCACATGTTTGGCGTATTCAAATAGCGCATCTCTGCAAACCATCATATGAGAACCAGAACCACTATCGATAATTGAAATGGATGGCGCAGTACAGGGGTACCACGCTCACCTGCGGCTCTCGGGCAGGTCGTCGTCGGCGGCGAGTAGAGCGTGTGCGCCAGTTGGCCACGGGCGACTGGAACAGGTCCAAGTTGCAGTAGTACTTGACCGCCTTCCCGGGCTCCCGCGAGTAGAGCCGCCTCTTGTCGCTGCCGACATGCCGTCCCCGCCGTCGGCTTCGTGGAACGCCCACTACCGCCGCGTGCATCGCCTCGTTGGGTACACCGTGACCCGTCACGTGGAAGAAATGGAAACCCCACTCCACCGTGGCCCGGCGGATGGCGTCCACCACGGCAGCGCTGTCGCCACCGTCAACGGAACGGTCGCCGCGGACGGGTTTTCTTAAGGTGGAGAGGCTCCTCCGTGTCGGTGTCGGGGACGCGGAAGATTCGAGGTGTGGCATTTTTCTTGTCGATGGCCGCCTGAGGCGTCTACCATCTTTATTTTGATGGGACAGGTCGACTGGCAGGCACCGAGTCTGTTGCGCCTAGTCTGGCCTGCCTTCCTAGTACAATCCTATCGTGCCCTGTGGGGTCTCATGGGCGTAGGCCTGTGCGCAGGCTTTTGTTCCGTCCGCTCAGCATCGCCGTGCGACGTGTTGACTTACGGGCGGTGTAGCCGTGTGCGGGGCACGGTTCGGTAATAATTGTCCAATTGTTGATTAATTACGCTTAAAATGTTTGTTAAAATGTTTGTACTTCTCGTCTTTTTACATAGTGCCAAAGTTTAAATTTTGACAATAAAATACCCTTGGTTTTGAACTATCCTAGCCATGTATCTAGATTAGGGGCCATTGATTCTTTTGGCCTCGTTACGACTCGAGAGTTCAACATTTTTCCTTTGAATGCCCTAATCTCTTGTATGGCTGTCATTGAAAAGTTTGATCGTAGTGCTTGAAAAAATCTTCTTTTTCCTATTCTATGGAGCCTTCTAGGTATCATCTTGAATGCCAACCACCATTCCCTCCACTATCGCTCCCAAAGTTTAAATTTTGAGGTAACTAAACACACCCTTGGTTTTGAACTATCCTAGCCATGTATCTAGCCGTCGCCCTTGGATGTTAGAAGAAGCTCCCCAAGGATGGGGGGCCATTGATTCTAATTGTTGCATCATGGTGGACTAATTGTGTTTATGTGTGATACACAGTGATTAGTCCACGGTACGATATGAGCAACATATGCCATGGAGGTGAAAATGGCTTGGAGATGTTGCAAAGCTCACATGTGATGATGAAGTTGCTCATGACATTGAGTCATGTGATGGGGATCAAGACAAGACTTGGCTTTTTCCCTTTGAATGCCCTAATCTCTTGTTTCGGATGCAAGTTCTTGTGGTTAGCACATTGAATCTTAGAAGTGAAAACAAGGATCGTCGAAGTGCTTCAAACCTGAATCTCAATGCACCGCCGGCCAGCCTGACCCTGTGTTCCTATTCTATGGAGCCTTCTAGGAGACCGCATCTGTCTTGAATGCCAACCACCATTCCCTCCACTATCGCTCCCAAGGGCGCCTATATAAGCTGAGGGAAGGGGGGTCCCCAAGTTCCTTAGCGATTCACCAAGTGACAGAGTGGCGTTCCTTCTGTGTGAAGGGTGCTAGTGGCCTTTGGGGCGATAAATAGAAGTGGTGCCATGGTAGTGTTGAGCACCTCAAGGGACTTAGGTGTCCATGCTTGTGAGTAAGAGCCTCCATCACACACATACTTGATAGCGATCATCCGATTGTGTGAGTGAGCGATTCTAAAGCGATTGCATCGTGAGGTTGCATCGAGTGGCACTAGGTGAACGGTGGTGCTTGTTACTCTTGGAGGTTGCCACCTCCTAGACGTGCTTGGTGGTGGTCTCCGTTCGCCTTGGATGCTTAGAGGGGCAAGCTCCCCAAGGATGAAGAGCAACCTTAGTAAAGGATTGAGAACCATACTGCCCGATGTGCGGGAGGCCCAAACCACCAAGTGAGTTGGTGGTGTAGCGTGTTGGCAAAACACGTGCGTGTCAACCTTTGGACATTGTACACAAGTCGCAATTACTTATATATAGGTCTCCAACATAGTTGGATAGATCTTGTGTAGCTAGAAATCCTAGAGGCATAGAAGTAGTCCCCCTAATTTGGTTTTAGTAACCTTGTTGCTTAGTAGAAACCTAATTAGGCATTGATGCCCCTAGACCTCGAGTGAGCTTAGGATATCTAGCATGTGTATCAATTTGGCATGGCATGGACCTTGCTAGAATGGAGTCGCTTTATTAGTATCTTTGCAAGGTGCTAGTAAACATATAGAGGGTGTAGTCTTTCCTCCTCGATGTTGGAGAAGGCGCGCGATTAATTTTAGAAAAGACTATTCAAGGGCTCAACTCGCGGAGGCTCCTCGGCCGGATCGTCTCACAAGGATCGGGCTAGAAGAAGCCCCATTTGTTGTAGAGAAACCTTTTGATCCCCTAGACCTCGATCTGGGATATCTCGTGTATCAATTTGATGGCATCTCCTGGAGTCGCGTAAATGCTCCTCCTCGATGTTGGAGAAGTGAAGATCCATGGGGCTCCTCATCCTCTCGGATGCTAGAAGAAGCTCCGCGAGGTGAGAGGCATGCCCTTCATATGCCCTTCACCTACTTCTTCGCTTCATAAGATGTCCATCCCTAGGGTGAGGGGACAGACCAGGACACGTAGGGTTTTCTTGTGTTTTGTAAGTGTCACACTAGCTTTGTAATCATTTATCCTAGATGAATAAAGATTAAGCTTTTTGTGGCGTCGCTCGCTTACAATGTGGTCGACCCTCGGATCTTTAGGTTGAGGCTTGGCCTTGTCCCAATGTTCTTTCGGCCTAGGCCTTGCATGTTTTGTTACAAAGCGACCTTTGCGTTTAGTATACCTACCCCGTTGACTACCGTATCATAGTTCAGAGGTTGAAGTTTTGTCTTTACGGTCACGTGACCGAGTTTTCATTTTTAAGACAAGCTCCCGAATCATCCAGTCAAACATCGAGCACTTTGTGAGAGGCCAACCTGTCAGCCCTTGGAGCGCCCAAGGTCTTGGCTGGCCATTGTGGTCGAGAGCCGAGACAGAAAGAGTCATTTCGAGGTCTTTTGCTCTGACTTGGTCAAGGCTGCCTAGCCCTCCCTTCTCTGTCACCGGTTTCGAGCCTATTTTTTCATTCCGTGTGTGGTGAGACGGTCCACTATAACCGCACGGTCAAGCAGTGCGCTTTGTGGAGCTCAATGGGTAATTCGAGTGAGACCCAATTGTCCCCCAACAATCGACGTCCCATACATCATCAATCGCCTATCCCTTAGCCCCGGCCATCTCTGCAACCTCCAGAGGGCATGATGCCTCCCCCCAGAGGGGGTAAACCGGGCGGCTTCGAAGCCGATGACTCGGACACAGGGAGAGATGGTCGGAGGTTCAACACCGTCTCAATTTTGAGCCACTCAGGGCCCATGTTCTCCATGCCCTAACTCTTGTGTGGGCCTAGAGCCTTTTGGTGGGCCAGCCCAACTTGATTTTTGAAGCCACCGTCATATGAAGCATAGATGGTGAAGCTGGAGGGGCGCCCTACACGCAGACCGATGAGAACGGCTAGATTGCCTGGTCATGTCATGTGTTTAATGGCGCCGGCTCGCATGCGTTCGTGGGGCGTGTGGGCGCGCTTTTGATGGAACATGGGGGCGGTGCCGTGTTGTCTTTACTACCACGATCTGGCTGCCAGCCTCCTTGGTTTCCTCTAATTGGCTCTCACCTTCACTTGCTATTTGCTGCAGAGAGAGAGAGAGAGAGAAAAGATGGAGAGAGAGTAGGGAGTTGTAACGCTTACTTGGTTTCTAGCATTGTTGGTGGCTTGCCTGCGCGGCTGTTGCCCTTCTCCTGCTCCTTCGTGCTACGTCCTATCACATGGAAATCCACAGCAGTTAGTTCTATATTATATATGTACGTAACTCGGAGAGCCCAGTGTGCCCGGTTTGGCTATAAATTTATAGGTGGGGTAGGGCAAGGCAACCGTCCTTCCCTGTCTTGCTGTGATACCCCATTCACCTTCTCCCAGGCCTTAGGCAAGCCTTGCCTTTGACCGGAGTAATGGATCATGGGAAGCGCCCGGCGAAGGACCTTCTAGAGGGGGACAGGCCTCTGCCGCATCTTCGCGCCCATTTGCGGTGCCTCAGGTAGGGTGGTGTTGTTCTTGGTTACCGGAATCATTCCATGTTGATCACCTTGATCTTTTAGGGCCATCTCTCATGCTACGATGTGAAAGGTTGGGTGGCCTCCGGTGCCGCCCGTTCCCTGGACACGCGCCCTATAGGACCGACGGGTCCTCTTGTCCCGGCCATCGGGAGGTCCGCGAGCCCATCCGTGATCAAGATGTGGCTCATGACCCACGCTTTGACACTAGGTATGAGGTTAGTCGGCTCGAGCTTTGTCTCAATGCCATTTAGGTGGCCCTTGCTGCTCGGGAGCAGGAGACCATCGCCGCTCGAGGGGCAGCTGCCGAAGCCCAGGCCAGGATAATAGGTAAGGTTTCCTTCGCTGAGAAGTTCTATCCTAATGTCCACGGCCTTTGCTTTGATGGTTTTTCCTATTGTCAGCCTTGGAGGAGGAGTTGGCCACTCTTCGAGAGGCAGCCCTTGTCACCTTCGACGACGTGAACCCAGGGGGTGTCCTGCTTGAGGACCGCTTTGTGGGCAATGCTGACTAGCTCAGGATGATGGGCCTTCACGGAGTGCGCCACGGGGCTAGCGTGGCACTGGCCATGGCACAACTTTGTTCCCGCCATGATCTCTGCCTGCTTGAACCTGGCTTTTCGGTTAGCGCCAACCTGGAGGAGTAGGAGGAGCTCATCGACGACTTCACTGCCGTCGCGGAGGCCATTATGGCGGCCACGGATGCGAGGTACGTCATCCTTGCTGCCTTCCTGGACCCATAGATTGTATCTAGGGTTGTTTTAATGAAAGACTATTCATTGTTCTCATTAAAAAACAATTTATGCGTGCTGCTTTGTCTTTCGTGGATTTTGTTTCTTGTGTTTAGATGTGATCAGCCCTTACGGCCATTGTGCTCGGATGAAGTGATTAAGAGGTCATAGGTCGGATCCCGCCTCCCCTCTCGAAGGGGAGTTAGGCATTTCAGTGAAGTTTCTTTCCTCTCATCTCCATGTTCGAATCCTGGTCATGTCCGCTCTCTTTCAGTCTTATGTGTGGGTGTGATCGTTAGCGCAATTGAGACATCAGAGGTCAGATCGCCACTTTTTCACGATACGAGATGAAGTGTGGGTGGAAACAAAAAAATATGAAACAAAATTTGGTGTGTATGCCCTTGTAGCCCCCGCGAGTGAGCTGTGGTGACTTCTCATGTGGGTTGGCACGGGTTACTCGGATGGTCACGTTAGACACGGGTGATTTTAAAGTTGTTTCTAATAGTCT